TCACATGCACATGCAGATATTTGCTTTTGATTGTATCCCACATCATTCTCAGGGTTTCTTCATTTTTCTTTGTTCTTTTTTCTGATTTTTCCTCAGAGTGGGATCAAAGGATTTGTCTTCAGTTTCGCTGATCCTGTCTTCCATTGTTTCATTTTTGCTCCTAAAACCTATTGCACTGTCCATTTCTGAAATCTTGTTGTTTATCTTTTGGACCTCTGATTGCTGGTTTTGTATGATTTCTTGTTGTTTATTTTGACATTTTGTTCCTGTATCTTCCTGAATTCTTCCATTGCTTTGCCTGTGTTTTCCTGATTTTGTGTATTTTTTCTTTATTTTTATCTTCATTTTCCTTCATCTCTTGGAGAATCCTGAATATTAGTGTTTTGAATTCCCTGTCAGGTAGTTCTAGTGCCTTTTCTTCTATTGAAATGTCGTCTGGGTTTTATTTTGGTCGCTTTCTAGAGATATACTGTCCTGCTTTATTTATATGTTTTGATACCATCTGCTATCTCTGAGACATTCAGGAATTATGTTCTTCACTTACTGATTATAGATTTGTTTCATCCTGCTTTTTTTTGTTTTATTTGGTTATTCCTGGGAAGGCCAGCTGGGCACGATGCTTCTCACCACCTTGTCCAGGTGGGCAGGAGTGGTCTCTCAGCCATGGTACAGCAGGGCAGGTCCAGTGAAGGGGGAAGTGCAGGGATGGGTAGTTTGTGGCACGAACTGGGGCTGATGGGGTGGGGCTAGGGTGCCGTGCAGGGCGGGGTCCAGGGGATTGTGTCAGTGCCGCTCGGGGGCACGACGCTTTGCGTGCAGTGCAGATAGGCATGAGGGAAGGGAGAACATGTGATGTGTGGAGTTAAGTGGGTGAGTAAAAGAAGCGAAAGAGCAACAAAAACAAAAAAAAGAAGGAAAAAATAAATAAAATGCTGGCGCTGTAGGATTTGGCATGTGGGGGTGGAGGAGACCTGGTGAGGTCATGTGTCAGTGACCCTCTAGCCGAGCAGTATGGCTTGGCCTGTTGAGAAGCGGTGTGGGTTGCACACAGGGCTAGGTGGATGGGAGAATGGCAAGGAAAGAGGGGGAAGAGAGAGAAGCGAACAAACAAAAAATATAGTAAAGTAAAAACAGTAACGACAACAAAATATGTTGGTGCAGGTGCTGGCTGTTGGGGGCGGGTCAGAATTGAGGTGGCGGTGAGCCGATGTCTCTTTCACAGGGTGGCATGTCACAGCCTGTCAGGAAGGGGTGGAGGTAGGGCAGGGCTTAGGTGGGAGGGAGAAAGAAAAGGAGAAAGGTAAAGAAAAATAAAAAATATGGCGTTGAGGGAGCCAGCCCTGGGGGGCAGTGCAGACCTGAGAAGGCTGTGTGCCAAAGGCTCTCCAGCTGAGCAGTACAGCACAGCTCACCAAGAAGGGGGCGGGTGGCGCACAGGGCTACATGGATGGGAGAAAGGAAAGGAAAAAAGGAGAGAAGAAACAACCACAAAAAAGCAAACAAACAATCAAACAAAAAATAAATAAAATGGTGCTTGAAGGAGCCAGTCAGTGATGGCAGCACAGAGCCAGGGAGGCTGTACATCAGTGACTCTCCAGCCAAGAAGTGCAGCATGGCCCTTTGAGAAGGGGTGGGAGAGGTGCACAGAGCTAGGTGGGCGGGAGAAAGGAAAGGACGGAGAGGAGAGAGAGGAAACAGAAAAGAAGGGAAAAAAAAAGAACAAAGCAAACAAACCAAAAAATACGGCGCTGATTGAGCCAGTTGGTGGGGGTAGTGCGGACCTGGGGAGGCCATGTGCCAGTGGTCCCCCAGCCAAGCAGTGTAGCAAAGACCATCAAGAACGGACAGGGACAGCACACGGGGCCAGGTGGGATGGGAGAAAGGAAAGTAAGAAAGGGATAGAGAGAGAAGAAATGAAGAAAAACCACAAAGAAAGGAATATGGTACTGAATAGAGCTGGCCGTCATGGGTGGCCTGGACCTGGGGAAGCTGTTTGCCAATGGCTTTCTAGCCAAGTGGTGCAACACTGCCCCTGCCCTATGACTAAAAAAAGAAAAAAAAGGCATATGACTTTATAAGGGGCAGGGGCAGCTCTCAGGGCTATGTGGGCTGGAGAAAAGAAAGGGATAGAGAGAGAAGAAACTGGAAAAAAATAATAAAATCATGGTGCTGAGGAAGCCTGCTGGTGGGGCAGTGCAAACCTGAGGTGGTTGTGTGCCAGTGGCTCTCTAGCCGAGCTGTGTGGCACACCCTGTCAAGAAGGCAGGGACGGCACACAGGGCTAGCTGGGCAGGAGAAAGGAAATGAAGGAAGGGAGAGAGAAGCAACAAAAAAAGCAAAAAAAAAAAAAAAACAAAAAATTAGCAAACAAAAACAAACAAGCAAACCAAAATGGCACTGAAGGGGCAGCTGGTGGGGGTGGGGCAGTCCCGGGCAGCTGGTGTCTCTCCTGCCAAGTGACTGTGGCCCACTGGAAAGTGGCAGAGGCTGTGTAGAGGGAAGAAGGGTGGGGGATGGGAAAGCTTTTATCCTCCTTGGTTACCAGGTGTTTTGTCTCCTTTTGGGAGCTCCATGAAGTTGCCTTCCTGTACTCCTTGTCTGCATTCCTTGGTGGCTGTAGTCCAAAATGGTGAATCCCTGCCACGTTAGCTGTTAGGGGACCTCCACTCCGTAGCTCTCCTCCTTCTGTCTTCTCTGTTAGTTTCTTATTCCATTTGGTGCTTGATTGAGTTATTCCTTCATTTGATGCTTAGGGTTCCAGGATTGACGTTTGTGTCTGTTTTACTTAGTTTTTTCAGGTCTTTGCTGCAGAGGGATGGCATGGTGCTTCTGTCTATAGTGCCATGTGGACGCTGCCTCTTTGCTCCATGTGTTTTGAATCTGCTATTAAGTGAATAAGTAATTGTTATGTCTTCTCAGTGATTTGGCTCTTTTTATCAATATAAAATGTCCCTCTTTATATCTGCAAGTATTCCTTGAGTCTATTTTATGTGGTATTAATTTAGCTATTCCAGTTTCTCATGCCTTATTGTTTGCATTGTGTATCTTTTTCTATCCTTTTACTTTCAAACAGAATATTTACATTTAAAGACTTGAGGCAGCACATTGTTGGGTCTTGCTTTTTTTTTTTAACTATTAATATAGTTTGATTTAGGTTTATCATCTTGGCTATTTGCTTTCTATTTGTTCTGTTTGGTTTTTGTTGTCTTGTGTTTTCTTTCCTGCCTTTTTGTGGTTTGATCAAATGTATTTCATAGTATTCTATTTTAAATTATCTGTTGCATTTTTGGAGCCCTGGTGAGGCTGTAGTTAAAGAGATTGGCTGCTAATCAAAGGGTTGGCAATTCGAATCCACCGGCTGCTTCCTTGGAAACCCTATAGGGCAGTTCTACTCTGCCTATAGGGTCGCTATGAGTCAGAATAGACTCCACGGCAGTGGGTTTATGGGTTGCATTTTTAGCTATTCCTCTTTGCATTGTTTTTTTCATGGTTGCTCTAGAGAGATTACAATAAACATCTTTTAATTTTCATGGTATACTTAGCATTAATATTGTACCAACTCATGTAAAATTTAAGAAACTTTACAACAAACTTTGTGCTGTTGTTGTCATATATGTTATACCTACCTACTTTATAGTCCCTTAATAGTGTAGTAATTTTTGCTTTATATAGTCATATGCCTTTTTTTTCTTTTTTTAGTCATATGTCTTTTAAGGAAATTAGACGGAAAAAATTTAGTCCTTTATACTTACCCACGTTGGGGATCTTGGGAGTATTTTAAAAGAAAACAAGATACAGTCTGGCTTGCAGTAACTTGAGAGCTTTTTATTGACTCTGTGGTATTGGCCTAGTCATTGCAGTCTCCTGGCTCAAGCCTGACTTGGAGAAGTAAACATTAGCAATGATTTTATATGCCTCAATATAGCAATGATCTTCTGTAGGTTCTTTCACTTCTGCCTCTTTTTAAATACATGATTACCCCATTCAAAAATAAAGGAGTCCTAAGATGTGGCATTGTGCTTTGAAGATCCCAGGTTACCAAAATTTTTCTGATGGGGAGGATTATTCCTCCAAAGGCCATAAAGCACTGAGACAAGAAGGATGCTAAGGCAGATGTAGTTTGGAAGCTGTAGTCATTATACAAATGTTTGCCTAAACAAGGCTGCGCTAACTGAAGGAATATCGTATCTCTGCTTTGAACTCAAAGACAAATTCAAAGCTTTCCTGTCTTCTTAATTCATAGTTTGTTTAATTACTTCGTATTCTTATGATTAGACTTAGTAGCCTCAGGTGTCCTAAATAATCCTTAACAGCTGTCCAAATTCAGCCTATGTGGAATATTTTGTGATAGTGATGTTGCAACTGTGTCTCCATTTGAACCTTTGTTTCAATCGTTGTTAAGCAATTTTCTCAGTATCTTAGGGTTATTGAATTTGTCTTTAAATGTTTAGCTATTTTATGTAATTTTCTACTAGAACTCTAAAAATTAAGATTAGTAGCAATTTAATGACATCGGTGGCACAGTGGTTAAGAGCTGTAGCTGCCAACCAACTCCTTGGAAACCCTAAGGGGCAATTCTATTCTGGCCTAA